CAGGGGTCCGCGTGGGTGGGGGGATGTGGCCGGGTGCTGCCTGGCCTGGACCCCTGGAATCCAGCAGGTGCTGAACATGGGTTCACTGATGTCCTCCTGTGACCCTTGGCTATGTGGCTTCATCCATGACTGAGACCTGCCCTATGCAGTCCCAACCAACATCAAGAGCCCCTCTCCCCCCCCATTGTAATTTCCTCTTCACGTTGAGTATCCCAGAAGTCTTTCAGATTGTATTTTTAATTTTGGATATTTGCATATGCATAAGTTATCTTTGTGGCAGGAGCTAAGCCTGAACTTTTAAAATCATTTATACTTCCTTGTAAATTATGTAAATTATCCACAGAGCATGAAGGTAACTTTTTACATTTTTGGTGTGCTGTGATTCAACTGTGACTTCCACAGGAAGTTAGTTGTGGACAACTTGTGGCATGGTGGCTCAAGTTTTGCATTTGGGAGTATTTTCGATTTTCAGATTAGGGATGCTCAACCTGTATTATTGCTGGACATGCCATTCATTCACTGATTCATCTGGCAACTGTAGAACTTTGGGCCCTGGGCACTGTGGAGGTAGTAATGAACAAAGCTAACTTGTCCTTGCCCTTGGAAGAGATTGACAGTGTAAGCACTGACCACCAGCAGGGACCACATGGAGGTGGGAGTTAGCTCCCTTGAAGGTGATACTTTTCAGCCAAGATCTGATTGACAGGCAGCAGTCTGTCATGTACAGGGAAGACAGTCTGAGGCAGACAAAATGGCAGGTGCAGAGGTGGAGGTGGGAGCATGTGTGATGTGTTTGACAGTCAAGAAGGCCAATGTGACTGGAGCAGAATGAGAAAGTGCAGAAGTCAAGGCTAGATAATAGACCTGAGGTGTGGGTGTGCCTGGCACTCGGTGAGGGCTACACAATGACAGTTGTTGCTGTTATTCAAAACTTTGAAACCAAAAGGTGGGGAGTGTAGTTCAGTTGGCAGAGTACTTCCTGTGAGCACACAAAGCCCTGGGTTCAATTCCCGGCACCCCATAAACTGGGTGTGGTGGTATACATACACCTGTAATCCTAACATTAGGAAGGTAGAGGTAGGAGGGTCAGAAGTTCAAGATCAATGGGTGTGGTGGCACACGTCTTTGGTCCCAGCACTTGGGAGGCAGAGGCAGGCAGATTTCTGTGAGTTCGAGGCCAGCCCAGTCTACTTAGTGAGTGCTAAGCCAGCTGGAGCTACAGGGAGACCCTGTCTCAAAAAGACCAAAAAAAAAAGTTCATGATCCTCCTCTGTTACGTAGTGAGTTCAAAGCCAGCCTAGGAAATATGAGACCCTGTCTCAGAAAACCAAACTAAAACAAATCAAAATAACTTTGAAACCAGATTGACCTAGATCTCAGCTGTGGCTTCAACTCATAGCTGGTTAGTTTGAGTAAATTATTTACTTTCACTGAGTCGTAGGTTGCCATCTGTGGTTAGAACGGTACCGGCTGACAGGCCGCCAACAAGGCCAAAATAGGTAAGCTACGGACGTGGCCTCTGGGGCACGGTGCTGGGCTCATGGTTGAGTTGGCTCAATTTTTTGTCATAATTTCTGGTCAGCAACTAGAGAAAATGAGGGGGTAATTGGGAAGAAAAGCTGATATGCTTACAACTTCTGAGCGATTGTGGAGGGGCTTTTTGATGAGATGTGATAAGTGTCTAGCAAGGCCAGGAAGGGAATGAGTGTAAAGGACTTGTTTATTCCCCTAAACAGTGATTGAGGGTCAGGAGTCAGGCACAAGGGACAGAGAAGCACTGGGGAGAACCAGTGATGCAGATATATAACAGCAGCAAGAATAGCTAACATGTTGCCTGGCATGGTGGTGCACACCTTTAATCCCAGCACTTGGGAGGCAGATCTCTGTGAGTTTGAGGCCAGCCTGGTCTACATAGTGAGTTCCAGGTCAGCTGGGGCTACAGGGAGACCCTCTCAAAAAAAAAAAAATAACCAACACGTATTCCTTCTTAGCTGCAGGTGTAATCAAGGTAACATGAGCTTACAAGATCATGTAACCCTCAAACCTCAGAGGCTAATGCAATAGAGCTTGACTCACCGCGTCCCTTTGGGTGTTTGTCAGGTGGCTTTCTATGGAGTGATCCAGGGGCCCAGAGCCTTCTCTCTTGTGGTTCTGGAATCTTCTGGGGCCCTGGAGCTACTTACTTTCAGCTGGGCAGGGAAAGAGAGACGCCATCTTCTTGAGAAGGTTTGATGGGTGCTGCTTCAGACACGTGTGAATACCTTGACTAATCTTGGCCCATCATGGGCAGAACATGGCCTGATCTGACTGCATGGAAATCTGGCTTCCTACCTAAACCTAAACTGACATGTTTTTGGTGAATCCACTGCAGTTCCTGCCTTGCCATATTCAGGTGCACAGCTAATGCACAGAACACCTCATTTCACTCTCCTGATAGAATTAGCATCCCATTCTACAGAAAAGGAAACAGACTCACAGTCTATGACTAGGCCTGGCCAAGATTAGTCAAGGTAATCACACGTGTCTGAGTTTATTTTGTTGTTGTTATGAAGAATACACGAGACTGGGTAATTTATAAATGAGAGAAGTTTTATTCAGTTGGTGGTGCTGGGAGCTCAACATCAGGTGACCACGTCCAGCAAGCACTTCATGATACATCATAACGTTGTGGGGAAAGAGGGCTGGGCTTGACTTTTTTGTTATGTGCATATATGTGATGTGCATTTATGTTCATGTGTGTGCACATGTGTATGCATACATGTGCAGGCCAGAGGTTGATGGCAGGTATCTTCCTCAATTGATTTTGACTTTATATATTGAGGCAGGGTCTCTCACTGAACCTGGAGCTCATCAATTCAGTTTATCTAGCTAGCCAGTTTTCTCTGGAGGTCCCCTTTTATCTCCTGAGTGCTGGGATTACAGAGGCATTTATGGAGGTGCTGGGATCAGCACCTCAGTCCTCATGCTTTCGTGGTAAGCACTTTGCCCACTGAGCTATCTAGATCAGTGTAGCCCAGGTTGGCCTCAAACTTGGGATCTTCCAAGTGCCACCATGCCTGGCTTCAACCCCCTCTTGTGATAAATAACCCACTAACTTGAAAAAGGCATTAATCCTTCTATCCTAATCCCTCCTAAAGGTCCCATGTCCTCCTAACTCTTATGCTGGTGACCAAATTTCAGCATGAGTTTGGGAAAGGACAAGCCACACCAGAGCCATAGCGGGTGAGGCTGTAGCAACCAGATTCCTGTGAGGGATTTGGTAGGCCTTCCTCCTTCCCTCTCCCTCCCTGCCCCTCTTCCTAAGTGGCAGATACCACAGCAGCACATATCAACAGCTTTTAGCCATACACCATCTCAGTACCTACAGATCTCAGCAGGACTCCTGGGGGAGAAGAGCCCAGGGTTGGTATCACCTGGCACCCAGTCTAGCATTCTGCCCTCTGCCCCCATCCCACTGGTTTGTGAGGCACAGAGTAATTCAGTTCCATTTTCCGGCACACCTCGGGTCCTATCTCTGCTTGTCTCTGGGGCAAGCACCCCCCTGCCCCAGTATGGCTGTACCTGGAGACACTGTGGAGGTTCCCTGAAGGTGGAGGGCCCCTGAGTTTTGCCGGGGCAGTTCTCTGCCCATTGGGCTTTACCTAAACTTGGATGGCTTGCTGTAGCAACTTGGTGGCACTTACCTTCCTGGCCTTGTTTGCCCTGTCCTTGCTTTTCCTCTTGTAGGTTGGATTCTCTTAGTTGAGAAGGAGGGTCCAGTCTGGACTGAGGTACATTATGCAGCACCTGCTGGACACAGTGCTTGAGACTTGAAGAGCAAGAGGCCTTGCCCTTCAGGCACCTTTGGGAGGTGACTTGGCCCAAAGGGGATGAACTTCCAGCTTACAGTTTTTCGCAGTGTGTCGCCTAGAATACCCCAACCCCTCTGGGCCTTGTTTTGCTTATCTGGAAATGGGCTGAAGGGAGGATTTGATGCAATCTTGTGGTCACGCCCCCTAGTGCAGAGGGATGGAGTGCAGGAGCCGGCAGGTGACCTTAATGAAGAGACCATAAACTAGCCCCTGCTCTGTGTGTGTGTGTGTGTGTGTGTGTGTGTTTTGCATGTGCTGTCCTCCCCTTTCAACTCATTTTAATCCCCAGTCCTTTTCCCACCTGGCATGGTGGTGCACACCTTTAGTTGCAGCACTCAGGAGGCAGAGACAGGTGGATATCTGTGAGTTCAAGACCAGCCTGGTCTATATAGTAAGTATTGAGCCCCAGAGAAATAACTTGTTCCATATCATACTGCTCACATGTGGCAGCCCAGCAACTCCAGGTTCTAACCACTGTGACATACAACCTCCTGACTGCAGAGAGGGACCCACAGGAAGCTGTGGTGGGACTGTGGGTCCAGAGCACTGGGGCACAGGACCTGTGCCTGCCCAGTTTTCATGTGAATGAATGAAATCCAGTGTCCACTGTGTGAACTGGGCACTCTGTCATGCTGTTGATGGGTAGCTAGTTACTTTGTCTAGTGTCTAGACAGCTCAAGAGGCGAGTACCAACAGCATTAGCGTCTTATACAGGAGGACCCAGGAGGTATACAGCCAGTGGGGGTGGGCTTGGAGGGGGTTTAGCTCCTGCCTGGTCTGAGCTGTTGTGTTCTTTGCCCAGTGTCCTTGTGTACAAGTGTCTGTCCAGCATGCTGAGAATTCATTCCAAGCAAGCATGCAAACTGTTGGGTTCCAGGTCAGGGAAGATGCTCCTGCAGACTCTGAACTCTGGCCTTTCCTGCCTCTGGCCACAGACTCCACCGGCTAGTCTTAGAAGGCCCCAGAACCTAGCAACTTGGGTAGGGTGGGGGGTGTTTGGCGGTCCTAACCCTTTCTTCCCCACATTCATTGGTGTTTTTCTCTGCCCCTCCCTTGTTCTCTTTTCTCCATGCTCACTCAAGGTCTTCCACCCCCACTCTGCTCTTGCCACTCCCCTCTGCTCCTCCCCACCTCCTCCCCACCCCGTGTGGTCACGTGGGGGCACTGCAGGATTTAAGCTTAATCTTCTGGGTGCTTAGCAAAGCGGCCTGGCATTAAGATGTGCCCTAGAGAGGAAGACTGTGGGGTACCCACAAATTCCCCCTCTTCCTTATGAACCTGGGACTAGCGGGGTCACTGCAGGCCCAGATAGCACTGGAGACTGCGATCCAGGTGGGTCCTTGGGGCTTCGTCCATCCTGGCCAGGATAGGGCAGTGGGCCTAGTAGGAGTAGAGGGAGGTATGTGTGTGTGTCTGTGTATAGGGGCCCCAGTTTGCAGTTCTCAGGGACACACAGGGCCCCAATGCTGGGACCCCCTAATCCCAGTGCCCAGCAGTGGTGGAAGGGGCCCCTCATCAACTTTAAGGATTCCTGACCTCTGGAATAGCAAAATCCTCCCTACTTAGGGTAGGAGTGGACTGGAGCCTCCAACAGCTTGTTCTATCTTCAGTGAGTTCCTGAGTTACTTCAAGTTTGATTCCCTGGCCTGGGGCACAGACCTAAGAGAGTCTCATAGTGGGGGCTTTATGCAGTTTTAACCCCCAGGCTTCAGCTGCATCTCCAGAGTTCTCCAGGAGTCTCAGGACTTGGGCCACAAGACTTTGCACATACACACACACCCTTCCTTTGCCAGGAAGCCGGGGATTTCAGGTCCCTGAAAGCCATCTCTCTTCCTGCAGTCATTGGAGAGTTATGTCCTGGAGCCAGGCCAAGAGAAGGGCCTGAGTGTGCAGGACCTGGCTCAGGAGTCCCCATGCACCAGCCTGCCCACCTGCATCAGGCAGATCGTCACCCGGAACCTCTCCCAGCCTGAGAGCCCAGGTGCCACCAGCCCCTCACCCTGCTCAGGGTCCCCTCTTCTCACATCCCCTCCTTAGTAGTGATAGACACTGGGAGTGTGGTGGTGGTGGTGGTGGTGGTCATGGTGTATGTCATGTGTGGTATATGCACATGTGTATATAGATGCATACCTTGTGAGTACAGAGGCCAGAGGAGGATATTAGATGTTCTCTATCACTCTACCCTATTCCCTTGAGACAGGGTCTCACTGAACCTGGAGCTAGACTGGTGGCCAGCAAGCCCTAGGGATTCTCCTCTCTCTGCCTAGCTCCCGCCTCCCCTATAGCTCTTGGGTTATGGGTGCACAAGGGGCCATGCACAACATTTTACATTGGTGCTGGGGATTTGAACTTAGGTCCTCATGCTTGTGTAGCAAGTGCTCTTATCCACTGAGCCATCTCCCTAGCTCCTGCCCCTGCTTCTTGAATATGCACAGGGAGGTGGGCACAGTCCTGTGATGGAGAGACCGACTTTACTGAGGATAAAATGGAAACGAGATTCACTTTGCCCATTCTGTATTTCTTCCTCATGTGACACAGCTAGGGGGAAGGGCTAGGCAGACCCTCCCTGTTTACCCCTGCAAGGGTTTGAACCCCAAATACTATGTTCCCTCCCATGTGAGCTGGCCAAGTCTGGGATTATAGGGGGAGGGTGGATCACCTCAGAGCAGGCTTCTGCAAAGGTCTGATGGCCTGGGCAGGAAGGCTACTGGCCCTAGCTACTCCTGGAGGGTGACACACGTGATCTCTCTATGCAGCCCAAGTGTCTGGGCATATGTAGTCAGCTGGAGGGTAGCAGGCACAATCTCTACTATTTATTTATTTATTTATTTATTATTTATATTTTTTAGTGTTTTTGAGACAGGGTCTCCCTATAGCCCCAGCTGGCCTGGAACTCACTATGTAGACCAGGCTGGCCTTGAACTCACAGAGATCCACCTGCCTGTTTCCTGGGTGCTGGGCATGTGCTACCATGCCCAGCCTCACAATCTCTTAATGCAGCCTGAGTGTGTGTGCACAAGTGGTCGGCTGTGTGCTGCATCTGTGCTGGTGGTATTTTGCTATTGCTGCTGTAGTCTGTTCTGTCTCTAGATCAGGGCTGGGCCATTTCTGAGTGGACAGGGATGTGGAGATCTTAGTGCCCCAGAGATGGGGAGGCTTAGAGAATGCCCCTGGGCTGGAAGGTCTGTGATATATGTTCAGGGCCAAAGTGGAGCCCCAGGGAGGTGGCCTTCTCCTTCTGCCCTTCCTCCTTTCTTCTTCCTCATCACACACTGATCTACTGTGTCCTGAGTCCTGGCCTTTTAGGTTATGAGAGAAGGAGGCATGATGGTGCTTACCTAAAATCTGAGCACTCAAGGGGCCTGCCTAGAAGGAAAGTCATGAGTTCTAGGACACCCTGGGCTACATAGCGAGACCCTGCCTCAAAGGGAAAAAAGCAAAACAATAACCAACCAAACAAAATACCTGTTATGAGAAATCCTGCCCCTGAGTGAGGCTTTCCCCTTTTCCTGGCAAGATCTGGTTACTGTTCTACCCATTTTATAGATAAGTGAAATTGAGGCCCTGAGACTAGTCATCAGAAAAGGAAGAGCAAGCATTCAAAGCTTCCTGTCCCTGAATGGGGTGGGTACAGTAAGATATTCTCCTGACTAGATGGAGCTGCCCTCCTGCACTCCCTGGCCTGTGGGCCATGCTAACCGAAGTCGTGTCCACCCAAGTCTAGCTCTTGGCTCTTCTTGCCGATCTTCCTGTTCCTCAGCTCTCTTTGCCTGCTTCTCCCAGGGGGCTGTCCCATCCTCTTGCCCACAGATGAGTGGAGTGGATACCTGTGGGTGCTGGAGCCCTCTGGACCCAGGCAGAAGCTAACCTTGGCCCGTGGTCCATTGCCAGCCCCACCGCAGGTCCCAGTGATGACCTCCATGCTGTCACTACAAGAGGAAAACCAGCTGCTGCAGCAGGAGCTGTCCCGAGTGGAGGACCTGCTGGCCCAGAGCCGAGCTGAGCGTGATGAGCTAGCCATCAAGTATAATGCCGTCAATGAGAGGGTGGGTGCACTGGGGCCTGGGCCTGGGTGGGCTCCCCTGCTGCCAGCATAGGGAGAGATTCTGACCAGGCCCTTAGCCTGCGTAAGGATAGGCACCTGGGTTTAGATGCTGATTTGTCAACTGGAATGGTCTTGAGCCCGTGGTGCCCCTGGGAAGCTGATGTGGCTGAAGGTTGGTGAGAGCTGGACGGAGGATGGGTGTGTGTGCAGATGGGTGGGAATAACAGTTGTGAATGTGCTACCATTTATGGAGTGCCTACTATGTGCCAGGAATTTGCTCCTTTATATTTAAGACACTAAGGTCAACACCTTTATAATACCCATTCAACGAGGAGAAAATGGAGGTCCAGAGAGGGAAAGCACCATGCTTGGCGTCACACAGCCAGTTAAGACAAGAACTGCCCCCCCCACCTGACTACCAGGGCTTTGTGTTGCCCTTGTTTCTTCGGTGTGGGAAGAGCCGGCTGAGCTGTGCTAGACCCCTGTGTACTGGTGAGGGGTGCTGACTGTTAGGAGACCTGCCTACTCATGATAGGAAGGGTGTGTGCTGTACACCTCTGGTTGTGGGCTGTGCCCATGTCTTGATAGCTGCCTGTCCAGACAAGCCCCGGACTTGTTGGGAGTTGCTGAGGAGCAGGGTGGGGGCACCATGGTGGCCCCCTAGATTTGAGAACAGCACAGAATTCACCTCTGCAGGGGGTGCAGAGGTAGGCTGGCAGGAATCCTGCGTCATCACTAGAGATGGGGCTGAGCCAGCCTCTTTACTTTAGGCCTTTCTTGGCCTGTTAGCACAGTGCCAGATCCCCAGGGGCTGCCTTTTAGGTGCCAGCTTCAGCAAGTGAAGCTAACACTGTCTGTAGTTGTGGAGGCAAAGGAGAGGTGGGAGGCAGCAGTGCCCTTCTCTTCTGGCACACAGTTGTCGGGGACTGCAGTGGAGAGCTGTGTCAGTCTAGATCTTTCCCATATATGTTAGCACAAGGAGCTTGGTATTCCAGATCTTCTGTGTCTAGGACAGTTTGCCTGATGCCCCACCTAGAGGCAGAGATTGAAGAATGACCTTTGAAGGTCTTTACTAGAGGGGTCCACAGAGAATGTCCTGCTAATGATCACCCCATTACAGATGGGAAACTGGGGCCCACAGAGGGGCATGCTAGCCCAAGGTCAGTGGTGAGCTGGCTGAGACCCCTAATCCAGGGCTCTGTAGTTATATGGCACATTCTCCCTGATGCTCATTTGTCTCTGTGCCTCCAGGGAGAATGTGCCCTGCACCACAACTGGCATGGTGGGCCTGGGTGGGATGCAGTCAGCCAGGCTGTCTGAGCCTTCAAATCCCATAGTCCCCTGGGATAGGGAATGGAACAAGAATCAGAATTCTGTCCATTGCCTGTCTTACAGAGAAAAAGGCAAGGACTCACAAAGGCCACCTCCCAAGTCCTAGGGCTCAGGGTCCCCAAGGAGCAGGTGTAGGGTGAAGCAGGTGGAAAGAGAAGGAGGCAGTGGCTTTACCCCTTGGCTCCAGAAAGCAGGCTCCCTGGGCTCTTCCAGTGTCCATGCCAACGAGGACAGAGTGAGTTGCATGGGGCAGGAGGACAACAGTTGCTAAGGGAGACAGTAAACTACTTTGATCCTGGCTTGTGGCAGCCCCCTTCCCTTTGGGATTGCAAGTCAAATTGAAAGGCTTGGCTGGGTGTGGTGGCACACCCCTTTAATCCCAGCACTTGGGAGGCAGAGGCAGGCGGATCTTTGTGAGTTCGAGGACAGCCTGGTCTACATAGTGAGTTCCAGGACAGCTGGGGCTACAAGGAGACCCTGTCTCAAAAAAAGACAATAAATAAATAAATAAATAATAAATAAATAAATGATATTTTGTGGAGAGGGGTGAGGTGTGGCCCTGAGTAGCCTGGTGCTGAGTACTGCAGAAGGGGTAGAGACCCCAGCAACTGTGCAACCCCCTCTACACCACAGAAGCCAGCAGCATCAGGCTCATATGCATGTGCAGAGCGCACACAGTGAGGGCTACAACCAAACCCCACACGGAACACGCCACATATGAACAAACCCACCAGGTGGATGCACTCAGATTCAGAGTCTATGCAGTGTAACCCCACCCACAACCACACACCACACAGTCCTGCCCTAGCACAGAACAGCACTGGTGTGACACAGCATGGCCCTGTACCCACAGTGTAGATAGCACAGTGCATCATCTGCTCCTGGCTGCACAGACAGCAAAAGCATAGAAACCTGCAGAGCAACAGGCCAGCCCATAAAAGCGCACACAGGTGCACAAGTGCCATCACCAGACTCCTGGAACCCAGGTTCTCAGGTCCTCCACTAGCATCATGCCTGTGCCTCACTGGCACACACAGATGTTCAAGTTCATGCCCCAGGACACACAGATGGACACACATGCACCTCACCATGGACACATCCAGATGCACCTTACCCAGGAGCATGGGAAGGCCCAGATGGCAAATGTCAATATTCACCATGCCATTAGTTCATAGTCTCAAATATTTCCCGGATGTGAGCCATGCCACCCTATGGCTACTGTCCTAGATGCTAAAAGTTAATAGAAAACCAAAATCCAGGCTTTCCTGAGTTTGCCTTGGAGAGGGAAGAGAGTTGGGCAGATGTAGCAAACTGAGCCAGCATAAACCACAGTGGGTTTGGGGGCTGAATGTCCTGAACTCCTTCAAAGGGAAGGGGGCTGCCACAAGCCAGGATCAAAGTAGTTTACTCTCTCCCTTAGCAACTGCTGCCCTCATGCCCCATACAACTCACTTTGTCCAGGTTGCCATGGACACTGGAAGAGCCCAGGGAGCCTGCTCTCTGGAGCCAAGGGATAAAGCCACTGCTTCCTTCTCTTTCCACCTGCCTCACCCTACACCTCCTTGGGGACCCTGAATCCTATGACCTGGGAGGTGGCCTCTGTGAGTCCTTGCCTTTTTCTCTGAAAGACAGGCCATGGACAGAGTCCCTGGGCTGCTGAAGTCTGCCTCCAGGTGCAGCTGCTGTGCAGATACCTGTTGGTGGACTACCTGTACATGTCCATGCCTGCCCCATCTGTATGATCATGCTTGCCTCATCTGTATACATATGCTTTACCTGTCTGTGTGCCATGCCTGCTCCATCTGTATGCACATTCCTGACCTGTCTGTGTGCACATGCCTGCCCCAGCTGTGTGTACATGCACCATACATATGTGAGCTGCATTCTGGGCCTACCTACATGCCTGTGCCTGCTCCCTGGGGTGCCTGGCTATGAGCTTGCAAGGAATTGTAGGTCTGGATCCAGCCTGGTGGCCCCCGAAGAGGCCCAGGCCTGCCTTCCCAGGACTCTCACCCAGGGCCCTTCCCTACAGCTGGAGCAGGCTGTGCGGCTGGAGTCTGGGGAGCTGGAGGCACAGGAGCCCAGGGGGCTGGTGCGTCAGAGTGTGGAGCTGCGGAGGCAGCTGCAGGAGGAACAGGCCTCCTACCGGCGTAAGCTGCAGGCCTACCAGGAGGGCCAGCAGCGGCAGGCCCAGCTTGTGCAGCGGCTGCAGGCCAAGGTCAGGGCTGCTCACTCCCACCCCTGCCCTCACTTTCCTTCACTTTGCTCAGTCCCCAGCCCTGGGGTTCACATTGTTTCCCTCCTTACCCATCACCAGATTCTCCAGTACAAGAAGAAATGCTCAGAGCTGGAGCAGCAGCTGCTGGATAAGTCCACCGAGCTGGAGCAGCAGCGGCTGAGGGTGGGTGCCAGGCTAGGGCAGGCACAGGCCTCCCACCTGCTCCCTGTTCTGATATCTCCACCTTCTCACCTAGGACACAGAGCACAGCCAAGACCTGGAGAGTGCCCTTCTGCGCCTGGAGGAGGAGCAGCAGAGGTGAGGGTGTGGCACGGCCAGTGGGCAGCCTGCTGGGCAAGTGAGCCAGTGCCCGCTGACCATCCCCGGCTTCTCTCAGGAGTGCCAGTCTGGCCCAGGTGAACGCTATGTTGAGAGAGCAGCTGGACCAGGTAGGCTCGGCCAACCAGGCCCTGAGCGAGGACATTCGAAAAGTGACCAGTGACTGGACCCGTAGCTGCAAGGAACTGGAGCAGCGGGAGGCAGCATGGAGGCGTGAGGAGGAGGTGTGTGGGGTGCTAGTCAGCCAGCCTGACAGTGGGGGACCCTTGCAGATGGATGTGTTGAGTCTGGAGAGGGATGGGGAGCCTGGCCAGGTGGGCACACTAGCAAAGGTCCTAATGACCATTAAGAGCTGCCTTGATCAGCAGATAACCTGTGTCAGGCATGTGTTTTCCTCTACTCTCATGATGATGTGGCAGGGCCGTCATCATCCTCATTTAAAGAGGTGAGTGATCAGCCCACAGTCGTGGCCACATCCCTGGCATCTGGGAGGTAGGTCTAGATGCCTACTGCTTCTTGTCTTTTTGACCACCTCTGTGTCAGCCAGTGATACCACTAAAATCCAGAGAGAGAGAGAGAGACCCTTGGGGAGATCCCAGACTCTTCCCTGGGCTACACTGGCTCCAGTGGTCAGAGATGGGCACTGGGGGAGGGGTGCAGCGGCATTTTCCAATGTCTCACTTACCTGTCTCCCCTAGTCCTTCAACGCCTACTTCAGCAGCGAGCACAGCCGCCTGCTGCTCCTGTGGAGACAGGTCATGGGGCTCCGACGGCAGGTCAGCGAGGTGAAGATGGGCACAGAGAGGTGAGGCCTGGGTAGTGGGGAGCAAGGGTACAGCCCCATCTCAGTTCAGCTCGACTGAGCAACCTGCCATGTGCACTACCCTGTGGGATGCCTAGGCGACGACTGGCAAGAGCCATGCTGTAGTGGAGGCCATCAGCATCTCCCAGGTTCAGCCAGAGCTAAGCCCTTTCTACATGTTACTGCATCTAGTTCTTAGTGTCCCTCTGAGATAGTAACCGTCATACCTCCATTTTAGAGATGACACCAGGGTCAGAGAGGTTGAGTGTCCTTCTCCAAGTCATGTTAACAGTGAGTGGCTGAGTTAGGGTTTGAAACCGGCTTCACTTTTTGTCTTTATGGTTTGTGTTAGTCAGAAGCCACTAGACAGCCCTATCTTTTCTTCTTAAGAGGCTTACGTCTTCCAGGCTGTCCTAGAGCTCACACTATAGCTGAGGATGACCTTGAACTTCAGATCCTTCTGCCTCTACCTCTTGAGTAATGAAATTTTTAGTGTGTATCATTGTACTTGGTTTGTATAGCACTGGGGATTGAACCTAGGGCTTTGTGTGCTTAGGCAAGCACTCTGCCAGCTGAAACCCAGCTCTAGCACAGCCCTTAAATCTTTGTTGTTTCGTGAGACAGGGTCTCTCTCTCTGTAGCCCCAGCTAGCCTGGAACTCACAGTGTAGACCAGGCTGGCCTCAATCTCACAGAGATCACATGCCTCTGCCTCCTGAGTGCTGCGATTAAAGGTGTGTGCCACCCTACCCAGCTTTTTTTTTTTTTTTTTTTTGAGACAGGGTCTTGATCTATAGCTCAAGCTGTCCTTGAACTTGAGGAAATCCTTCCACCTCAGCCTTCCAAGTGCTGGGGTTATGGGTATCGCTATATCTGACAAAACTCATTTTTTGGTCTCTTAAGTCCTTATTTGTTCAGAAAGCTGGGCTGGCTGTCTCAAGGGTTCTTGTAGTCTGGCCTTTGCTAGCTGCATCTGAGTGTCACTTAGTGTGGTCCTCTGTCTGGTCTTTCCTGTGAGTCGGGTGTGGATTTGAGGATGGGGCAGGTACAGATTGCTATTTTTCTTAAAATATTTTACTTTGGGGGGGGCGCTGGAGAGATGGCTCAGTGGTTAAGGTCACTGACTGTTCTTGCAGAAGACCCAGGTTTGAATCCCAGGACCCACCATGGCAGCTAACAACTGTCCATAACTCCAGTTCTAGGGGATCTGACAGTCTCTTCTGTCCTTCTTGGGCATTGCATGACTTGGGTGCACTTACCTACATGCAGGCAATACACGGATACACATAAAATAAAAATAATAAATTTTTTTGTTTTGTTTTTGGTCTTTTTAAGACAGGGTCTCCCTGTAGCCCTAGCTGGCCTAGATTCACTATGGAGACCAGGCTGGACTCACAGAAATCCACCTGCCTCTGCCTCCCGAGTGCTGGGATTAAAGGCGTGCGCTACCACGCCCAGCAATAAAATATTTTAAAATTTTTATTTTTTTTATATTATCTGTATGAGTGTATTGTTTGCATGTGTATAAGTGAACCCATGTTGTGCAGTGTCCACAGAGGTCAGAAGAATGTGTTGGATCCCCTGGAACTGCAGTTATGGATAGTTGTTAGCTGCCATGTGGGTGTTAGGACTCGAATCCAGGTCTGCAAAAGCAGCCAGTGCTCTTACCACAGAGTGATCTCTCCACCCCATACTCACACACCCTTTTGTCTTTTGGATATATACTCTGTGATTTCATCTTTGCTCCTCCTCCTCGATCATTTTGTTTTGTTTTTATTACTTTATTTTTTAGTGTGCACACACTTGCCACAGTGTACATGTGGAGGTTAAGAACAGCTTTTGAGCCCGGCATGGTGGTGCACTCGGGAGGCAGAGGCAGAGGCAGGCAGATCTCTGTGAGTTCAAGGTCAGCCTCGTCTCCATAGCGAATCCAGGCCAGCTGGGGCTACAGAGAGACCCTGTCACAAAAAGACAAAAAAAAAAAAAAAAGGTGGAGCTGTTCAAGCAAAGGGCCATGTGCTCATAGTTGCCTTCCCCTGTGGCTCCACCCACTTGCCCTCCTGTTAGCCATGCAGGGAAGGGCTTGTTTCCCCACAGCCTAATGCGATGATGTTTTCCACCTAATCTGATAGGGACAGATGATGTTCTATTGTAGTTTTAATTTGTACTCAGGAGCTACCCCCTATACCACCCCTTATGCTGCTCTCCTCCCAGGGACCTGCTGCAGCTGGGAGGGGAGCTGGTTCGGACATCCCGGGCTGTCCAGGAGGCAGGCCTGGGGCTGCGTGCCAGTCTACAGCGCTCTGAGAGCCGAACCGAGGCGGCTCTGGAGAAGCAGGCACTGCTGCAGGCTCAGCTAGACGAGCAGCTGCGGGCCAAGCTGCTTCGGGAGAAGGACCTGGCCCAGCTGCAGGTGCAGAGTGACCTAGACAAGGCTGACCTCAGTGCCAGGTGGGTGATGGTAGGTGCCATCCAAGGCCAGCCCCCTGCAGATGGGTCATCTGGAAACTCAGAGAAGGGTGTCTGTCTACCAGGGGTGGGGCCTTCCCTGTGTGAGCTTGGCTGGGCTTCCTAGGCACCTTGCTTAAGGTTCAAGGGCTGGAGCCTAGCACACACTGGAGTCGTTCAGCCTACAGTGACATGAAACCCCAGCTCCTGTCTTTTGGGTGAGCCTCTGTGCTCTTCTGTGAGACACAGTCAGCTGTAACCTCGTCCCCATTTTGCAGCAGAACATTCTGAAGCCCCCAGGAGGGAAGTCTTATTCAAGGCTCCATAACTGAGGAGCTGGATCCTCAGGTCTCTGCGTAGTTTGGGGAAGCATAAAGGACATATGCTGGTGTATTTGAGAAGCTGGGACGGGTCCCCCACTTACCTCTTTTGCTTGTCTCCCACAGAGTGACAGAGCTGGCTCTGTCCGTGGAGCGTCTTCAGAATCTGAACACAGAGAAAGAACAGGTCAACAGGACCCTCTCTGACAAGCTGGAGGCCCTGGTGAGATGTGGCAGCAAGACGGGGACAGGCTGAGGGCTGGGCTGCTGGGGCTATTCCAAATGTCCAACTGGGACTGGATGTTGTCCTACAGTGTGCAGACTCACTTAGCACAGGGATAGTCACTTCTTCTGTGCCCTTCCACCTTCCCTGCAGCATGATCCCATTGTACAGTCAAGGAAATGAAGGCCCAAGGGCATGGGCACCAGTACACTGGGAGTCAGGACTTGGACTTCTTCCTGAGCTCCCAGAGGGAGCTCACAGTAGTAGAGGGGCAGCCCCAGGTTGACCTGGGCTGGTCATCTGTGTGGGCAGGGCTCTCAGTAGGCTGTGACTGGGACCAGGCACTGTGCTGCTTTGGGTCTTACCTGTTCCATGAGGGCAGCTGGCCTGTGGGCACAGCCATTACCTCCACCTGAGAGGGCCAGGAAGGAGGGGCTTTAAGCTGACAGCCATGAACACCCTTCCTTGTCACCAGGAATCTTTGCGGCTACAGGAGCAGGCAGGCTTAGACACTGAGGATGGAGAGGCGCTGCAGCAGACCCTGAGGGACCTGGCTCAGGTTTGTCTACAGCCCAGGCAGGGGTAGTCAGACAGTCCTGGGTCACCTCCCATGTCTGTTGGGGGCCTTGGGATGAACTGGAACTGTGGGGTGGGGCACTGTAGTCCCTGGCTGCTGGGGACCCCTGCTGGCTCACCCAGCCTCCCCCTCATGGAGCCCCAGCCTCAGAGGCAGGACATCTCTGAGAAAGGATGTCCTGCAGTGAACGGAGGTGGTGCTGGCCAGCCCCTGGCTAGTGGTGACAACTCAGATTCAGGTGGGAGCTGGCTCCTTGCCTCACTTTGTGCCTGTGGCCAGCTAACCCCCAATTCCCTGCCCCCTGCCTCTCCAGGCCGCCCTATCGGACACTGAGAGCGGAGTCCAGCTCAGCGGCTCCGAGCGCACTGGGGACACCTCGGAAGGCAGCCTGCGGGGACTCTCGGGCCTGCGCACCCCATCTCCACCTCGGCGCTCCTCACCGGGTCGTGGCCGTTCCCCGCGCCGAGGCCCGTCTCCGGCCTGCTCAGACTCCTCCACTCTCACGCTGATCCACTCTGCCCTGCACAGACGCCAGCTGCAGGTCCAGGTAGGCAGGGACCTGAACATCCGCAGCCACAGCTCTGGGTACCAGGGGGCGGGGCCAGACCCAGAGAACAGGCTGGGGAGAGTTCTGGGGCAGAGTCTCAGCCCAGAGTGGCGGGGAGTGGAGCCTGGGACCTGAGGGGCCTGTAGAGCAAGAGAAAAGGAGACACAGTCCGCATTACACAGGGCAAGGCCCTCAGAAAAGTCTGGGAGGAAGATCCCTGTCCAGGACCAGGGCGCTTGGGAATGAGGGGCGGAGTCAGAAAGAGGAGTCAATGGAACCTGGCTGTAATGGGGAGGAGCCTAGGGCCCTGGGGGTGGGGTCAGAACCTAGGAGGGAAAGTGCTTGGACTTATATCTGACGTCCCTGGTCCTCCCCCTACCCCAGTTGAGGTTCCAGGGGGCCAGTGAGGACCCAGAGAAGTGCATTGGGCATCCCCTGATGCCCTGAGCCAGGCCCAGTGATAAGGAGCTATTAGCAGAGAGTGGGTGGGCTACCCCAGACCCAGCGACCTCCATACCCCAGGATATGCGTGGGCGCTACGAAGCCAGCCAGGACCTGCTAGGCACTGTGCGGAAGCAGCTCAGTGACAGCGAGGGTGAGCGGCGTGGGCTGGAGGAGCAGCTGCAGCGCCAGCGGGATAAGACCGATGCTGCTGCCCAGGCCCAAGAGGACATGCATCGAGAGGCCCAGCGCCTGCGGAGCGCCAACGACCTCCTGAGCAGGTGCCGGACGTCCGGGCGATGAGGGTGGAGTCAGTGTCCTGGCCTAACCAACCAAGCCTTTAAAGCTGTGGCTCTGCTCCAGTAGGTCACCACCAGCCAGCTAGAAAAACAGTGGTTGTAATTTTAAGGAAGTAAAAATGTAGTTCTTTGGTTACTGTAGCCATATTTCATGAGGCTATAGAACATTCTAGAATTCTGTTGATAGTGCTGTTCTGGTCTGTTTCCTGTTGTTTGCCCCAAGCTGGGAAAGACCTAGGGCCTGGCAGAGTGCTGGAAAGTGCTACACCTAACCTAGCTGCACCCCAGCCATCCTAGAGGTGTTTTTGTTTGTTGGTTGACTGTTTTCTTTGGGGTGTGTGTTTTTTGAGGCATGACCTTGATCTGTAGCACTGGCTGGCTTGGAACTTGCTATGTAGCTTACTTAGACCGACTTTGCACTTGTGACAGTTTTCCTGCCTCAAGTGTCTTGAGACTAGGATTACAGGTGTGAGCCATCAACCCTTAGAGACATAAATTTTTTTCATTTATTTATTTATTGGGGGGGTGCACATGCCGCAGCACATGTGTGGAAGTCAGAGGACAACTTGCCAGAGTCCGTTCTCTCCTTCCATCATGTTGGCTCCCAGGGATCAAACTCAGGTCATCAGGTTTGGTGGCAAGCACCTTTACCCACTGAACCATCTTTTTCTTTCATTTTTTTTTTCTTTTTTTTTTTTTGGTCTTTTTGAGACAGGGTCTCCCTGTAGCCCCAGCTGTCCTGGAACTCACTATGTAGACCAGGCTGGCCTTGAACTCACAGAGATCTGCCTGCCTCTGTCTCCTGAGTGCTGGGATCTTTTTTTTTTTAATATTTCATT